AAGGACTCTTAAACGCTAACAAACGTCAACAAATAGCGAAAACTATAATTTCTATATGTTTGCTTTGCTCGAAATCGCGCGCATTTACAAGGCCCTAAAGCGTTTTCTGACTTGTAAGGACCCATCTGTTATAACGATGCCCAAAATACAGAGGTGAATCTCATAGTTTATTAGATATAATCCGTGTAAAGTTTGCTTATCACTTTCGCATAAATTATGACCTAAATTTGGAAACCGCTGAATTTCTCGAATTGGGTCTTTGCGATTTTGGTGAAACTCTGTTCAGCGCAAGGCACTAATGCGCACTATGTGTAGCCGAGAGATTTTCACGAAAAAATGCCGGCAACAGCAGATTTTCGACTCAGACCTCAAAGGGGCGTGGCATTATAACCACGTGACATTTACTCTGATCGCCAAAAATTTTACGTTATATTGTAAATTGATCTATATGTTATCCATTCTATGTGTTAGACTTACGATAAAAGTAAAGGTGGGGATACCAGAGAGCTTCAAAGTAGGATGGTACCCCCCCCCCCCACAAAAAAAATACTGGGTCGAGTCACCTTAAGTTATCGCGCGATAAGTTTAAATTATCGCGCGATAACTTTGAATTATCGCGCGATAATTAGTCATTTTATCGCGCGATAATTAGTCAGTTTATCGCGCGATAAATGAGAAAATGTAAAAACTATCGCGCGATAATTAGCCAGTTTGAGAAAATGTAAGGGGTGACAGGCCGCACATCTATACCGGCGTAAAACCTTGTGTAAACCTTTTATATTTTAGCTCTAACGAGCATGTCCTTTAGGGATTTTCCTTTCTTCTTGGTACTTTAAAAATTTGGCGAAGTAACGGTTGGTTTTGTGTAAGATTCCATTTTTTCAGTAAAACTTCTTTTAAAGTAGACACTGAGGGCTGGTACTGTGTCACGAAAGGCAATATTTCTTTTTCCTCTTTGTTGTTGTGTTTCATGAGAGCAGACTCCCTCTCTGTGAACTTTATATCTGATAGAAGGTTTTTTATCATAGTTTGTGGGTAGCCTCTGTCAATCAAGCGTTTTTTGAAATTTGAAATATTTTCCTCAAAAGTAGTTTTTGAGGAGTTTGTTCGTAGGATTCTCAAGGCCTCTCCTTTGACAAATCGTTTTTTAACACTCTGCGGGTGACAAGAGGTGAAATGTGTGTACTGGAAGGTTTCCGTTCTTTTAAAATGTGTCTTTACGTCAAGGATAGATTTTTCCTTGAATCTTGTGCCTTTGTATACAACCGTGTCTAAAAACACAGTCTCAGTGTCAGATATTTCGGCCGTGAATTTGATAGTTGGGTGATGTAAGTTTGCTTGTTCGTCTTGTTCGATGTACGCTTCGCGTTTCGATGTCTGGTTTACTTATGTCCTACAGGGAAAAGATATCGTCAATGTAGCGTTTCCAAACTGTAGGTTTAAAAACGGTTCTGCTTAGAATTGTGGATTAGGTGTTTGAGATTAGGTGTTTGAGATAGCCATTTTCTTGTCATGTCATCAATATGATTTCCACGGTGAAGATCCGTGACGTGATTAGGCGCAAGACCTTGCTGTGCGTTTCTTTCACCATGGGTTGAGAGAGAGGTCTGTAGTTATGTTTGTCGCCGATTTGTATTTGACCCTCTCTTTTTTTGTCAGTTTTGTTCATGACTGCTGCTATAAACTGACTAATTATCGCGCGATAATTTTTAAATTTTCTCATTTATCGCGCGATAACTGCTCATTTTATCGCGCGATGATTTTAACTTATCGTGCGATAAATTTGAATTATCGCGCGATAACTTATAAAGGAAAAAAAAAAGATTGCAATGTCCCTTACGGGCCACCGTAGAAAACAGAAAGTAAATCTTCTACGAAACTAAACTAGTGGGCGATTTTGAAAAAAAATTTCCTGCAAGCGATTGTCGGAAGAAAAAAATTGCATGCAGCACAAATGTAATAGAAAGCTTATGGGAAATAATGGGAAAAAAATATCCTACCCACCAGATTGCTAGAAAGAAAAATTCTTGATGACCAGAAATCACCCACCCCACCCCTCAAGAGTTAAATGGTCGGCCCCTAAGCAAAAACACCGAAGTTCGGCATTCGTTCGGCAAATGACTGCGTCTTGCATTATTAAATTAAAATTTTATGTGTTTGTCCTCTTAATGATAATTAAAATTAGCCAAAGAGCGTGCGAGATGTAATTCAGTTATTGTAAAAAAATATCCTTTCTATAGTTGTTTTGCAGTTTGGTAGCTTATATTTGAAATCCCAAAGACTGTCAATCTTTTACCGGAGTAGAATGACTCAAACGTTGTGGAATCTAGACGGACACCTACTTCGAGAAAAAAAAAAGCCGATGAGCAAATAGCACGTTGAATTGATATAGTGAAAATACCCTAAATTTGAATTTTCTTTCGGGACTAAACAAATGTTCGATTTCAATGCAATGTATAAAATGAGCATATTATAGGTTGAGTTCACCGTGACGTTTTGTATACTCTCGACTGCTTGATGAAATGACTGCACTACGTCCGAAATTAGTTCTGACCAAGAAAGTTTAAGTTAATTTTTCAGGGTATCAGTTAAGACGAAGGTTATTCTTCGTTTTATTACAAAGTTCAAAACAGAGATACAGGAAGTAATCATGAGGTGAGTGGTATCTCAAGGGACAACCAACCGTATAACTGTGGTTTTCACTGCTTATATTAGTTGTATTGGCGATAGAAATGAACGACATTTATACCTAATGTAAAGCGCTCATAGATCAAGGGCGTTTTTTTTGCAGTGTTTTTTTCCATATTTTCACTTTTCATACTGGTAGTATATATCCACGGTCTAGCCAAATGTCCTGTATGTCACGCAAATATATAAATACATCGGGTTAAAATTATCACTAATCTGCAAATAACCATTTTTTTTTTTTAGCCTAAAAGTGGAAGTGTAAGTCATAATAATATTGCAATAGAAAAAAAGAACGGAAATTAGATTACACCCATTATCTTTTAACAAAAATTTAACAAATGCTTAGGCAGCGATTCTTACATAATTTGCCATGTTGCATTATGCAAAATAAACATCTGTAAAAAAGGAGAAATTAACTCCGGCATATCTTGGATTTACCACTGAAAAGAATAACGCTAAGATTTTGAATGTACCTTTTGTAACCCATGGTTATCTGTATCAATATTTCCCTCTTTTTTTTTAAAAAAAAGAAAAAAACAAAATCATTGGACCCTTTCATGGTTTCTGAGATAGACAACGCGTTGGAACGAGAATAGTTATTTACCTTTGTCTCGCGGAAGTCGTTCGTCTTCAGATAACATGGGGTAACAAACCTATGTTGAGGTCGCTATGCAGGAGAAATACGGCGAAAGAGGATAATTCCCTTGAATCGCAAACTTTATAGCGAAACATTAAATTAAGTCGAGGTTGGACAATTTAGAGGACCACTCTGAGTCTAAACATTAAAGGTTTTTACCAACAAGGTTCAAATGCGACTAGAGGCCATACTGTACCGAGTCCTTGAAATTTCTTTCTTTTTTTCGGCGTTGAGGAGTATAACACGCTGGCTTAGCAGAATTCTAAAGATCGTTGCGTGGTCTTACGCGAGCTAAATTTTAATCAAGTATCCTGATTACAATTTTCGGACCTCAGTATTATTGTCTCGGTCTGTAATGGGTAAATGAAATTCAGCGTATCAATATCAATCATTCAAAAGTAAGAGGAAAGTGTTTGTCATTTAATACTTTGGTTAATTTCTCGACGAAAACGTTGCTTCTAATAAAAGCCATGAAAATTTTAATTTTAAGCAAATATTCAGAAATTATAAGCAACCTAAATATGCATACAAGGGAATAAAAAAGTGTGCGGACTCGATAAACTGAAAATTGAAATGCAAATCTTAACAACTTGTTAATGCCACATAACTAAATCGCAAATGTTTTCAATGAATATCTCTTGCTTCATTTCTTGCTCTGTAAACTGGCCGGGGTGACGTAAATCCTTCGCTATATGATATGTAACAAGCTTCACCTCACTGAGGCAAGATGGAACCTTCGAGGGGTTTATCTAACTTATTTCATGATATTATTCATGAGGTATAGGTTACATAAAGGTCGTCTTTCACAGGGCAATAATTGGCCACTTGTTTTTGACATCTGTTTGTTTGTCATTTTTTGATCCGACCGCAGACAATGACGTATTTCATTGTAAGTATTGTAAAGGTTTTCACACAGCATCGAGAAAGGGCGTTTCACGGGTCATAATTTGTTCAAACCACTTGTTCTCACTTAGGTGAGAAACGGAGAACAATAGCGCATTGTTTGTTTGCTAAGCCGACAACAATCAAATTTCAAACCTTTTGTGTTTTTTTATTTTTGTCTTGGTATTTTTTGGGGGGCCAGTACACTTGTGAGAGCGGCAATGGATAGTGACGACGAAATTTTCCTAACGCAAAATACTTTCTCTCAGGAGACTTTTTCCCCTGAGTTGAATTTGGAAGAGTTAGTGGGAGACTTTAGAAAACAATGTATTCTACCTCACTCCACGACAGAAATACAAGTCTACGGATGAAGGTATGATACAATTCGGGTGCAAGAGGATAAAAATGTCAGTCAGTTTTAATGGTCGCAAGCCGCAGACTGTAATTAGAAGTTTCAGTTCTCAGTTTCCGCATAAATCTTACAATCAATTATCTCAAAGATCTTTACCCCCTACCCCCACAAACAAAGCAAATGACATCTACTAAACACGTAAAAACAAGTTGGACCACATTGTCACGTATTGCTAAGAGGTATAATGTTCAACCGAGTGGGTTTTTCTCCATTTGAAGCAAGATGTTTACCGTGCAAGAAGTCCGTGTACAGTGGTTGTTGGCTTTCTTCTTCATAGGTTCACTTACTTACCAAGACGTTGAAGGTATAAAAGAGATCATTCATCTCTGTATTTCGGTTTTGCAACTTATTTTTATTATTTTTACTTTTTTGTATTTCCCAGCGCTAAGTATCAAAACTGGAATATGCAATTTCACCATTACTACTCCTGGTCTGTTTGCGTGTGAAAAGGTTTCCTTTGAGAAGCCTTTCAATGGCAGGCAGGATGTGAAAGTTTTCGTTTCCAAAAGCCACACAACAAAGAATTATAGTGGTGGAGATGGCGCGGCTATTTGGGTGGAATCTGTGGATAATAAAGAATTTACAGTTTGTGTTTTAGAGTACGGAGATGGTTCTAGTGGGACTACGAAAGTGAACTGGTTGGCGCTGCAATCTGTTCCTGTTGGCGCTCAACTAGACACCGTCTCGTTGGATTCTTGGACTACTGGAGAAAAGTGTAAAAGGATCGCCTTTGAAAAGGTTACCGCTGTTTCCCCTTGCGTTTTCGTTAAGTTAATAGTTCTTACTGATTTAGGTATTTCTGTTTGCTCAAACCTAGACACAAGATTTCACTACGTTATTTTTTGAGCTTTGCTTGACGGAGTGGCTTTAACTTCCTCTTTCTTTATTTAGCTCGTAGGAGCTGCGGACTTTCCATTTGACTTCTTCCTTATATCTTTAAGTCATGCGATATAACATTGTTGCATTATAAAATACGATTCTTTATATGTTTACCAAGATCTTACATATATTGCTACCTCTATTTTCTTCCATCAAAGTTATCTTGCAATCTGTCCTCCACTTTTCTTGATCATTTCAATTTTTTTATTTACATTAATACATCTTTAAAAAGCTTTAACAATCTTCATATTTTTGCTAATTTTTGCTCTAAAAAATTTAGTGAGAAAGTCTATATTTCGATTCCTTTTGTATCTACGTTGCCAGGTTCATGACTATCGTTTTATTTGCTGATTTGCAAATTCTGTGTTTTATTCGTAAAACTGTTCTTAGTTGTTTTTCATCTGCACTAGGAAATTCCATCCAATTTGCTTCTTTCAAGTTCAAAATGATTTTTTCTATCACTCTTCCATCGTTTTATATCATACCCTTGTTTGTTTGAAAAAGAAATGTAATAAATTATTTATTTTTTTCCCTTTTACTTTTTCAGCGTTTCTCAATTCCTCCGAGCATCTACGTAACAGCTCGTCACCAAATTCTCAAGAGATCTCAGGACGCCTTGGCCTTGTGGGTAGAGGATGTACGCAGAGACAGTTTTAAGGTTTGCCTCAGGGAAACTAAGATTTTTGATGGTCTGCATAAAAACATCAAGGTGGTAAGCGAATTCCTTTTGTTACCTGTTACATGTTTGAAAGTAGACTCACACGACAACCAAGCGGTTCCTCCCTTGCTGCAACTTACAGGCGCTGTGCTTTAGCAGAACCCAGCTCTACCTTTGCTCTTTGCCTACTAGGAAATCGTAGCTTTTATCATAGAGATCCTATGTTGGATACCCTGTGATTTACACAGGTTCAGAGCAATGGGCTCCCTTCTCTTAGAAACAACCTTGACTTGAGAAAGAATATATTGATAACATTGTTAATACTTTTTCACTTGTCCTTCAGGACTAGATAGCATTTGTGAAGCTGATGACGCTGAATTTTACCTTGATCAATGGCCTTGTAACAACAAAGAATAACTCACCACTAAACAAGCAACAAAACAACGCTGTCTGTCAGGTAAAGTAACTAATGAACTATATATACTGTTTTGGTTTCTCAGTCACTTATATTCATAAATAGAAAGTCTTTCATAAGTTCATGGAGCTCTGATGTTGTTATCGTTAACCATTTAAACAAGATATATCATATACCGCATATGTGTAGAAAAACTTAAGAACGCTGATTCTTTTCTTGTTTTTTTAGATAATAAAGTTCACTGATGCTTTCTATGCCCCTCCGGTAGTAATGGTTTCACCAAGACTCAGTTACCATAACAACAACTCTCGTTTCTCGGCTTCCGCAACTTGTAACGCAGTTACTGCGTGGATTCAGGTAACAAATATGAAACTTGGAGCCATTTTTCTTAGTCGTTGCGTCCTTAGGCTGCCTTCTTATCTTTTCCCTTCTAACTTACTTTTAGAATTGTCTCTGTTTCAATTTTTCATGTCGTTTAAGGAGTCCAAAAAAGTTTTTTGTTTTGTTTTTTCCCAATTTTTCCAACCAACCTGTGCACGCCCCGGTTTCGCTTTCTAAACGACCTTTGGTAGTGACATAGCAGTTAAGGTAAGAAAATACCTGATGATGCTTAATAATGGATAATCTGATAATTCTTATTATTGTGTCTAGCATACCTTTACAAACGAAACCGAGGTGTGTATGAGAAGATACAGCAATAACGCCAATTATAAGGACATCGTACAACTGGATTACCTGGTGATTGGAGGTACGTAAACAATCTATCAAAACCTTGGTGAAGGCTGTATGCTGCAGTGTATCAAGTACATTTTATGACATGAATCTTTTGAAGTTGTTTGATGGAGAGCTTTTTTTTCTCTAATTAATGCTATTTTTTGTTGTCTCTATTTTGGGGGATTGTAGATTTGGTTGACTGAAAGAACATGTTACTAATATAATTTCGTCGCAATAAATTTGTGTATTCAAGAAAATGAGAATTTTTTTGAAAACTATTAAGACTAAATTTCTTTGGCACACTGGTGCTCCTGATCACGAAATTAATAGGCTCATATGTGGTGTCATGAGACAAAAATTCAGGAACTGAAAAACGAGATCATATGCATTCTTATCCTTTTCTTAGAGTCGCCAGTGTTGTTAACTGCAATGCACCTTATTGGCATCTTAAAGCAGTTTCAGTTCGTAATTAAAGGAAATTTTTGCAGAGTCTATACTTGTTTTCTTGCATCTAAAGTCACGTGTCCCTTAATTTACGTTATAGTTTCTTAATCTACGTCAGAGCCCCTTTTTTTCTGAAAGGGATCCGAGTGAAGACTTGCACAAATGGTGTGCCAAAATGGCGGTAAATTTGAACGTGTCAAAAAATTCTCTTTAATAACATTGTGTTCAAAGCAATTTTTTTTTTCGCGCACTTTCTCGTAGTAATGTGCATTTTCAATTCTAAAAAAAAAAATTTTAAGGTATGGGCACTTTAAATCTAATCTGTTGTTATTTGCCTAATTATCTTCAGACCTGGATCCCTGCATAGACGTTACGTGTTATTATCACAGCTTCTGTAAGGCGTTTGGACCCCATGATGCACGCTGTGTATGTGTGGATAGCTGCCCATCTTACAAAGAACCCGTTTGCTCATCAAATGGCACTACGTACGACAACAGATGTTTGTTTGAAAGAGAAGTTTGTTTACATCGACTAAACTTTACTGTGCAACATCGTGGCAGCTGTGAAGGTTAGTACAGTTGTTTTTGAATCTGTTAAAAAGTGATATTTGTTTTTATTAGATTTCAGTATCTTAGCGAATTTTTTGAATCAGATATTTACTTACCCATGTAATCTGGAGGGAAAACGGCGATAGATGCGTGACTTTATGGGAGTACAGAATTTTACGTAATTTTGCTAAAACGTTTGACAGGGGCAATGCTAATAAGAATACTGGTCAGAAAGAGTGCTGATAGACTTCTGTTTTAAGCATTTTCAGTCAATACTCAACGAAAATATCTGTTGTTTTTTTTTATATATGTATCACTGAAGCAAATTTAAAACTGATTCTTCTCTCTGAGATTAGTAGTATAGTAGTAGTAGTAGTAGTCGTATGCATTTCGTACCCGGACGTAGCTCTGCCTAACATATCTGGATAACGTCCTTTCCTAGAGTTATATTTTTTTAAGCATAATTGGAACTGAACCTTTTCTCTGCGAGAAGTAGTAGCTACGGTAAATGTTCACTTTCCTTTCCTTTAGCGCTAAAAGGCTTGACCAGTTGCCACCGTGTAATTCTAATCTCTCCATAACTGCTTGCCATGCTATTGACCTAATGCAGTGACAAGCGAAACATTGTCTGCTGTGAACTTTTCCCAGCACTTCTATGGTAGAGAGTAACAACCTTCTTTCTAAGAACCACTCATTTACTGCTATGTTAACATTTTTAAATGCCCTTTGCTCCGCATGCTTGTCATACTAATCTATAGTTCATCTTGAAATGTGTTTTCTAGGATTTCCTTTTCAGCGTGGTCGTCGTCACATGCCACATATTTCATCCTTGGGCTACTCTCACTGTCATGCCATTCATTTCAAACCGTTTGTGTCTTACCCTGACAAACCCATTCAAGTGCAGATAACTGTCAATCATATGGATACCAGTGACAAATCGTATGTCCATGACGCGGTAGTATCGTGGGTTGAAAATGTAGATAACGACGGATTCACTGCTTGTGTGATGGCGGCAGGATATAACGAACGAAAGTCGTATGCTAACGTGACAGTTGATTGGATGGCGTACCAAGGTGCTCCAGTGGGTGGCGTGACTGGTGAAGTGCGCATGCCACAGTGGTGGACTGGTACGACTTGTGCGACTGTCATGTTTCCTACAGTGAGTGGCCTTTGTTGGGTTTTCTTGTCCTTCCCATTTTTTTCAAGATCATATCTTTTGAAACGCCTCACTTCTACTGAGGTCACTCAGTTAATAACAGATCGTTTTTAATAAGCATCAGCAGTGATTTCTCGTAATGGTGCAGCCGTACACTTATGACCATTAGTCGAACAACGTCATGGTAGTACAAATTATTCTTTTACCAATTTCCAGCATATCACAAATGTCATGGGTTCCTTTTTGCAATAAATACGAAATTGATTCCTGATTTATTTTTCAGGGAAAATTCTCTGTGATGCCGTCGGTATTTGCGACTGCCAAGCATTACAATCCAGGATTAAAACGTGACGCAGCAAGCGTATGGATTGAAGATGTCACACAATCATCCTGTAAAGTTTGCTTGAGAGAATTGCAAAACTACGCTGGATCACACCAAGACGTTGTTGTTGTAAGTAACGCCAATCTCATGGAATCGAACGAACAGCGTTTTTCTTTGGAAACTAAGTGCAGCAGACTGGTATCTTTCTCCATCTCATCTTTTCGCTTTTTTACGCTTCCAGCAGTTGGTCCAGCAGAGATGCACGATTTTTTGCTTGAAAATATATTTCCCTCCATCTGTTTCCTCTTCATCCGGCTTTGTCAACCCAACCATGTTATTGCTTTCTTGTAACCTAATATGTCGGTGGCTGTTTTATATAAACCTTGTTGATAGATTACCATCTTATTTTCGACGTTGACACAATCTTTTGGTAGTTAGGACGTGAGAATGAAATAGAATTCTTTCTTTTTATTGTTATTTATTTATTTATTTACTTTATTTCAGAATTGGTTAGCGTTTTCATATCTTGACGAGCCTCCCTTCTCAGAACACAATTCGATTTACTTTTCGAATGATAAACCTCCCGCGCAGAGTCACTATAATGCCTTCTGCAAGGTCAGTATTCCAGTCCTTTCATTAGTCTTATTGGTTTCAATTCCCGTCACAGTGCACTTAATTTTATTGAATAAATTTACTATCAGAGAGCAAAAGAAAACGATTCCCCTATCATGTCTCTAGTGATGGTAGTTGCATTTAATCAGTTTAGCAGGCTGTCTGTCATATTTCAGTGAATATTTAAAATGAAAATGAAATATAGATTATAAATGCCCTAATGCGGAACAAGTCTTTACCTTTATATAAATGTCAGAGACTGAATTTTTACAATTATGTAACTTCTTTTGACAGGACGCTTCTTTTACTAAAGTTTATAACTCAACTCCACATGTGTTTGTTTCTGCCAATCATTCCACCAAAAATGGAAGTCAGAGTCCAATTCATAACAGCATAGTTGAGTGGGTAGAGGTATGTTTTTATTTGTTTATTTATCTACTTTTTAATATATTTTGTGAATTTGTGTAGCATACCACTTGCAACCACACTTACATGTGTTGTGTGCATGTTTAAAAACCTTATGAATTTCAAAATACGAATGACTGTAACTAACACTGTCTATTTTACAATACAGAATGCGTTCTACTGAGAATAACAGCTTATAAAATACAGATCGTGCGAAAAACAGCACAAAAGTTAAATTTTATGTTTAACTAACGATCAGGCATAACCCTTAGCTAGTAAAATGGCCATGAATTATGGAAAGTCGTTAAAACTGTGTTTAAAAAAAAGTTGTGTAGCTGTATAGCAGAAGGTAAGCAAATGTTGTTAAACAAAAAGCAATGAGCAAGCTAAAATTGGTGTTAAGCAAGAGAGAATGAGCTACGAGAGCGAATCCCTGTGCCCCATGATGATTATTTGAAATCTATTGAAAGTTCCCACGCGTGCGATGAAGGTTATTTTTATCTGCTGTTTCCGTGACGCGCGCGGTCTACTTTCCCGTGAACGCGACATATTTCGCCTCCAAACATTTGAAGTTTGACAGCAGTTACAGCAATTATCGCATGAGAGGTTTAAGTTGTTGACATGTAATAACGCGCTCTCAATTGTCCTCTTTCCTCTTCCCTTTGAAGCCCTGTCCTGCAAACTTGTTGAACAGTGTTGATCACTTCTTAATATGCGTCAAACTGAGAAATATGGAAAGTCTTCTGGTCAAGACCTACCTGAACTGTTCTATAGTTTTTTTCCTGCTAGCAAGGGAGAAAATACGCCGTCCGCCGTCTGTGTATTTACTTAATGAGCTGATAAACATCCCTTTCTTGCAGTACATCAACAAGACAGGCTTTCGTGCTTGTGTCAAAGAATTATATGAAGCAAAATATGACCCATTGTCAGTAACGTACACAGTTTTGTCAGGTAAGAGCTCTACTGCTACAAAACTAATAAACTTCAGTACTTACAAGTCTCTGAATAAAAAAAAAAATGAATACAAGCAACACACAAAAGGAATGCACAAAAACTGGAGGAAATAATAAAAATTGTATTCGGGTGATGATAAAAAACAACGTTCATCCCTTTTTCCAAATACCTATTAATGTGTATAATGGAGTGCTTTATAGCGGAGCTCTCGCGCGCGAATCGCACGCAGCGGAGCACCATGGGTAAAAAAATGAGATAAACTACCCATCCAAGAAAATTTTGTAATCACGTGACCGTACTCAGACCGCCTGCCCGCCCGACCGTCCGTCCGCACCAAAGGCATACCAATGTAAAATAATTCAATCAACAGGTATGGCAACCCAAATGCAACTCAAAGTTGTATTTGGAAAGAAATCGCCTGGCCGCCCGGACTTTTAGAAAGAAAAAACAACAACAAAGTCGTTTTTTTTTTCGACGTTATATTTGATGTTTACACTCACGTGGATAACAGAGAAAGAGCTAGAGCGAGTAATTGAAAACAAAAGAGATGAATTTTGTAGGAAGAAAAACATGAAAATTCAAAGCGGCTGTGAGACAATGAGAAATGCTAGCGGCCAGCAAGGTGAAAATGAGCGGCAGTGAAAAATAAAAGCGAACATGAACACAGGAGACAAAATATTGGGTAAGCACATACGACCATTCCTCCACAAAAATAATGTGTAACTAGTAAGTTTGACGTTTTAGTCCTACAAAACAGCGTTGTAGTTGTGCAAAACAACTGCAAACAAAGACAAAAAGTGTGCTGCACGTGCAAATTTGTTCGTTTTTGCTAATTAGAAAAAAAGAGTGTGCTGCACGTGCAATTTGTTTTTTTTTATTTTTTTTGCTAATTAGATCTATTGATCTTGATGCCATATTCATTGCCGTCCCGTTTACCATATTACACCATTTATTTTTTTTTGTTTACAAGTATAGGTGGTTTTCATGCAATCTCGGGAGACACAAATAACAATGGTGAAATGAACAAATGCTGGTGGACAAACAAAGCGAGCTAATGAGCGATCTTTTGTTTACCGTCCACCAGCATGGCGGCGATGACGTAACGTGAAAACCACCTATTATTAACCAGAGTTTCGCTTCTAGCCCTGGCTAAATCTATATATTAATACTTGCAGTTCTTTTGTCTTATGTATTGCATTTATTAATTTTGTCCTGAACAAAAAGCTTCTGCTTTTCCATTTCCTTTTTTATCGCAAAACCGGAAATAACAAAAATGCCCGAAGTATGTAACTGCTCCTAAAGCCATACATTTTAAGCAATATCATTTTGCAGTTCACTAATTCCTACTTTGTATACGCGCAGACATCTGTCCATCGGGATGGGATTACTTCAATGGATACTGCTATTTAACAAGCTCTGTATGCGCACCTTGGGTGACTGCTGTGTCCAGCTGTTCAGCAATGAACTCATATCTGGTAACAGTGCACAACCAAGAAGAAAATGTCTACATTCAGCACCGTCATAATGGAGAGCGATCATGGATTGGACTTAATGACCGAAGCGTTGAGGGATCATTTGTCTGGACAAACAAGGAAATAACCAGTTTTCGGTTCTGGGCTCCGCAACAACCAAACAACAGGAAAAACGAAGATTGTGTTCACACTCTGGGTGCCAATGATGGCTACACTTGGAACGACGTTTCCTGCGATAACTGCTATAACTATACTTGTGTTCGAGGTAAAAGCGGTCATCAGGTCCGTTTTACAACTTACATTAAATGATCTGTTAGTTGGCACCTGGGGTAATCTTATGTTCTGTAAAGGGTTGTGGCTCACTTCAATATTTTATGCCAGGAATGTAACCAAAACAACAAAAAAGCCATCTAATGTAGGGCACATTAATGTAGTATCATCTTTCAGTCAGTTAGTAGAGGAGATTGGTTGAGAATGCATCAAAGTTTAAGATTTAGATTTTTTCTTTTTTTTTTCACAATAAATGAATGCGACGTTTTTATAGCCGGCCTGTCTACAGCGGACGCCCCCTCCCCCTTTTTTGAGGTGAGGGGGCGTCTGTACACAGGCTAGGTTTTTATTGGTGAAAAGGATCAAAATGATAAGAATGCTATTGAACGTTTCACACCGTCGGTTGAGTCCAAACACCTCTAACAAAAAAACATACTATTATAATAAAGGCGCTTGTAGGGCTTTATAGCCATTCCACTGTTATTAACTTTGTTTCAGTTTATGTTTCAAACTCCTACGACTATATCAAGGTAAAAATGGGCATGCAGCCAAGCTTATTAGACAGTTGTTAAGGTGTCATAACGTGAGATAAAAGCATTGTGTGCAGTGTTTGGTAAAATTCAAAGTAATTTCGTTTTTTCTTTTCAAGAGTTTTATGATGAATTCAAGTTGAGAATCATTTCAGAAAATAAGCACGTAGCAAAGGAAATGTGAGTGAATGAAACACAGTGATTTCTTTTAGAAATTGACGAATGCACAACTAACTATCACAGATGTAATGTGAATGCTGCTTGCCAGAATACCGTGGGCTCATACAAATGTACTTGCAAAGCTGGATACTCTGGAAATGGCGGCAAATGCGTTGGTAAGTACTGAACTTTGCTTTAAATGTCTTCCATATTTTGCCCTTTTGCTTCGCAAACTGATCGACCGACTTAGTTGTCCTCTGTTCTGATTTTATTTATTAAATTATAGACTAAATATATATGCTTTATAGTGGATGTACAGAACTATTATTATTTTCTCTATCTTTTGTGGTCAAAACTTTCTGATAAGCCCCTAGTGGGTATTTAATCGGAATTTTGAGCAGTAAAAGAATACTTGCACTAATGTGTGCACTCTAAATCAGACAGATCTGTTTTAGCCCTAAAAATACGGCCGTTTCGATAAGTAAAATACAGTCCTATTTATGAGTCTAATTTTGTGCCCTTAAAGCAGGGCCAATACAGTCCAATTAATTAGCTAGGGCTGATTTGGTCCCAGGGCTGAAATGGGCCCTAACGTGGGGTGGAATAGCCTTTTGATTGAGCTTTTTTGGCCTGGATTGTGTTCAAATGGCTCCAGGAAGGGCTGAATCAGACTTTGGCCTGCAGGACTGAATTGACACTAGGGCTGAGACAGGTCTTTTTAATTTTCAGTGTGGAACAACCTTTTACACGAATTTTGATTCCTTTAATCAAAACAATTACGAACTTCCGTTTGGACATATATTTCTTTTGACTTAAGAACTTCACTGGTAATTACGTAACAGTTTGATTTGATTTGAAAAAAAAAAAAACTCGAAAACGAAAATTTCACTTTTAGACCTCAAGGTCGCCCCAATTCAGACTAAAGGCAATAAAAAGCCCCAAGGGGTCTGACTTGTCTGAACAGAGGAAAGTCGGGAGGAAATGTCAAGGAAGGTATTACCTTGTCTTTTTCGGCGCATAAGTGAAACAATATTTCGCTTTAGTTTTAAGTACGTATATAAAATAAGGGCTATGTATCAAATTAAAGGTTGCGCGTAAACGTAAAACTTGAACCTCGGTCAACTTTTACACGCGGCCTTTCATACATTGCCTCCAGGGCCCTGACTGCCTCTATTATATTTACGCGCGTACATTTTACTTGCGTACGCACATAAATATTACGCGGCAGTGGAAATCCACCCTAAGTTCTTGATCACCTAACGATAGTTTATACATCCAGCACGTGCGTTCATTCCATTGCTTGTATTTATTCTCCCTGGCACCGGTTGTTCAAACGTTAGATAGCGCTTTGCTTCGGATAAATCACTACACAGTGGATAAGTATTAGTGAAACTAACTGCGCTATCTACTGGATGGTGATTTATCTAGCGGATAGCGTTATTCAGCTTTTGAACAAATTGTCCAGGTAATTGTACAACACTACCATAGCCACACAAGCCATCGCGTTCATCTGTAACGTAGATTTGAAAGAGTAGAATGTAAAGGAAGAATTATCAGTCTACTTGCCTTGTAAACGTAAAATAAATGCAGTTTTATGATTTTCATGTAGATATCGACGAGTGTACAAGCAAAATCCATAGCTGTCACAGAAATGCGTTATGTAAGAACACTGAAGGGTCTTTCACCTGCACCTGCAAACCTGGTTACAAAGGAGATGGCAAGAAGTGTAACGGTAAATACCTCAGTAGAACACGCAATTATCGCATTCTCTGCTTTTAATTTATTAGACTGAGGCAAACAAATTTGTCGTGGATTCTTAGCTATGAACTGGAATTAGCCTAGAGTACAGGTTTAAGCCAAGAAATCTGTTCACATGCATTATTATTTTGAATGATTTTCCTCCCTGGTAGCCTCAACTCTAAGTTACTTCCAGCAACAGGAATCACTGCTCATCTGAATGAATAAAGCAAGATCCAGGAAGCCGATTACCTGTATATTGATACTATTTTAAGTCTCTTTGAAAACGATTGCAGGCGCATTCTTCACAGTTGATCTCTAATGTTGATATCTATTTTGTTGTAGCGACACGATCCTGCAAAGAAATCAAGGACTTAGGTATCTCCAATGGCGACGGGGAGTACTGGATTGACCCTGGAAGGACTAAAAGTCCTTTTAAGGCATATTGTGACATGACAACTGACGGAGGTATGGTTTGCGTTGAAGCTAGGGAAAACCCATTTTTTTCTAAAGTAAGTTCAGGAAATTCAATATATGTTTGTATTGTATTCAAACCGATAATTTAGTCCTTACTTGTAACAACAGACTTTGTATGACAATTAGGAATTATTGGATGAGGTTGAGGTATCATCCGAGAATTATGCAGATCGAGAAGGCCTTCGGCCTCGGCGGATAACACCCCAAATGAGAGTATCCGGTTAATGACTTCGATAGTGCAGGCTATCGCCAGACAAAAGGGACAGCAACAGAGAAGCCCGAGTACGAGTTACTATACCTCAGTTGTTTTAGTACAGGTAGAGAATTTTACTGGTTTTGCGAAGAAAAACAAAATACTTGATGTACTACCTAAAAACATAGCAAAAACAACAAAACTACATCTCATACTTGAAGAATATCTTCAAGACTAAGAATCCCAGTGGATCCTGAATTTGCCGAGGAAAAGACACGTGAAATCCATCAGTTTATCAATTCTTCTTGTATGTGTCAAGTGTTACCATGGAGAAGCTGTTTGAATGAATAATAAGCCTCGTTTTAGTATCAACTTCAGACTAGCACCCGCCTAGGGAGTCACGAATTTCTTAGTCTCGGGTTCTTAGTTCTGTAGTGCCGCCAACGATTCCCAAAGTAGACCGCAAATGATCCTCACCGTAAATGATCCCCATTGTCGACCGCAAGTGATCCAGTGAAAAGTAGACGACTGGAATACTGTTTTATATTAGGCATGGATGGTGAATGTGCTGAGTATTTGCACATCGCGTAGAACAATGAATAAATACAACTGTTTCTTTTAGTACAAAATGTATTTTTTTCTCATTTCGTTATTCAAGCATTTGATGTTTCGTTGCTGTGAAGATTTAGGACAGGAAGGACCTTAAGAAGGAAATTTTTCTTTCATTTTAACGCTTAGGAATAGGGAAATATGACCCCGGAATATGATCCCTGTATTTATCACTCTGTAGAGGTTTTTGGTTTATTTCGAAATACGCTTAGTAAGTAAAACTCGTGAAAATGTTGTGTCTAGTGGTAAGGACCCTGTCGGCGCAAACCTGTGTATTCATTTTCTGTGTCTTTGCTGCTGGACACACAGACAGTTACAACATTAGGGAAACAGAAACGAAGCAACGATTAAGTGGAAAATTTTGTACCTATGAGCAAAGAATTATCTTAATGGGGTTCAGTGTACTAGAGCGAGCTTTTATCTGGGGTCGTTTTCAGAGACTTTCGCCGTTACAAAAGTTATCATTTCCTAAAGTTGATACTAGGCAGGGTTTGAGAAATTACTTCTTAAGAGTATTGCATCTAATTGAACTATAGTATGTGAAGTTTAGTTCAGTGAAGCTTTAATGTTAACCAGCAATTAAGCAAGAGCTATTGTTTTACTGAGCATTTAAGTGTTTCCTTTTTTTGGTTTGCGTCTATTTATGTTATATTTATGGTTTCTTATGTTTTCAGTCTTGGCATTTATTTGTTAAATTTATTCAGTTGAATTTTTAATACTTATGGTGCGATAATAAACGTGACGCGATGACCCAGTAACTTAAGTCCAGGCCATTCTGATTTTCCTCTCGGGATCATTTGCGGTCGACAATGGGGATCACTTGAGGTCGAGGATCATTTGCGGTCTATTTTGGGGATCATTTGCGGTCTGAGGATCGTTTACGGTCGGAATCAGTTGCGGTACTGTACAGTTCGCCTGAGTTATATTTAACAATGATTAGGCCCACGGTGAGTTTCCGCCGTGTGAATTATTTTGAACTAAACATTACTGCTTCTTTTGGCCCACATGACTGATAAACCAATGATAAACATTTATGGAATTTCAGGGGGATGGCTTCTTGTATCCAACGTTGTTTCGCACGGTTCTTCAACGACTCAGTTGCCAGTTAAGACATCGTACCGCGGAGTAAGCAGCAAAGAGATGTTACTCACAAAGAGTGCCATGAAGGAGCTGAGGAAGCACTTGCATTTCACTCAGATAAGATTTTACTGCAGGAAAGGAGGAGGTCGTACATTTCACATCACCACGGCTGCTAACAGGAAAGGTGAGGCTGCTGTGAAATACTTCAGTGGTGAGACAGATGTGATGCCCGCCTCTTGTGGCTCGTTTGTGATCATGAGCAATGATAACTCGCGGTTAGCAAGAGTCTGCAAGGATTGGGGATACCAAAGAGGTTCTTACAAAGTTGGCAAATGGGGGCACGAGAGAGATCAGAACAGATTATACGACCACCCTGCTTTTGTAATGGCAGCTTACCACTGGCTTCTTGAACCGTCTCGCAGGTGGGAATGCGACGATGCTAGTGTGGGAGTGTCACGTGGCGATTTTTGGAAAATCTTCGTGCGATAGGAACTTATAGATTGAAGTCACCATAACAAAAGCCTTTTTAAATTTTAAGGGGTCAATTTTGAAAGAAAGCTAACCACATCGGCACTATTCAACACCAGGATCTAAAGTAAAAATAAGCAAGAATTACTGCAATGGTCCTAGTATGAGTGAAAGGGAAATAATATAACACTCAATAGATGGCATCATGTAGTATTAGATGAAATAAAAATAAAGAAAGTGGGTGATTCATTAGTACCGGCTTTTTTCTTACCCCCCAGGACAATGGAAATGTGCGATTTAACGTAGATAGCCTGATACAACAGTCAAACTAGCTCATACCATTTTTATTGTTATTCCTGGTATTTCTGAGGGGATTCTTCATTCCATTTCCCACCAATCGACAGGAAATAAGTGATGTTCCCGATTGCTGAAAGTGCGACAAAAATTCTTTGTAAATGTACCCCCGATATAGTTACCACTGATCCTCATGCACCAAGGATCAATTATCGTTTCGAGTAAAGGGACATGTCTAAAGTTCCAATATATTAAACTGGCATGTAAACTGTCTAACGTTCTGAAAAATTAAAAATAAATTTATTTAGGGTGACCAGTGGCACGAAATAGGCCACTTGAACTAAGGGGTCACGTGAACAATGCTTACTTTCAACAATGAGTTGGAATCTTGCTGATGCCAAAAATTGTTTGAGCACACAAAAATTATCTTACACCCTAAATTTGTGAGGAAACGCATTTAAGGGAGATATTTTATGGCACTTTAATTTTTCAGCAAAGTAGTATGATTTGTATTAGCCGCCATGTTGGAGGGCATGCTTTTGCCCTCCAACATGGCGGCCAAAACTACTTCTTGCTTATATCTTGTTCAACGTTTCATAGTTACGCTCAGATGTGCTGTAAACGTTATCACATCATCTTTTCAACATTTTCCTTGAAGTTTAAGTGCAAAATTTGTGTTCAGAGAGAGGTAATTCATAATTTTTAAAATCACATTTTGGTTACGTGACCATTCACAAACTTATTCATTTTAAGAAAATGGTGCGGGTTTGAAAAACCAAATCACCATAATTTTGTTTAAGATATGACCCACTACTCGTTTTTCAAAGGCAAAATTATATAACTTTCATTTTCATAAAACGATGTCACATGCCCCTTAGTGCAAATGGCCTATTCCTAGAGCCACCCTTGGCGAGTGAAAAGTAAAACTATGCAAATTAATTTTGGCTCGTTCCTACGCGGCTTCGCCGCTCCCATCTCCGGAGGGGGAGGGGGGAGGGGGCAAACCCAATTACGTTTTATACACAGAGGCTCCGTTCGAGTTTCAAGCCCTTAGCGTTTTCATCGTACCTTTTTTGACAGAAAAGTTACCCTTTTCATATACCTTCTATTCACAAATCGCACCCCTTTCACATATCTAGCCTAGAACACTGCATCCCTTTTTACTGCTGTGAATGCACTGTCGTCTTTTAAATATGAATAAATCACTAAGGCAGGAAGTTTTCTTGACTTCCACAAAGCCTTAAAAAACCATTTGTTAGCCCTTTCAGTTCTTTATACACCGAGTAGCAGATTTCCTTTCCCTTCCATGTACCTCCACTTGTCAAATCCCTACCCTTTTATATACCTGAAAAAGTTACCCCTTTCGGGAGCAGCCTCCCAGAAAAGGAAATTATAGGGAGTACCCCCCGGATCCCCTCTCAAGTATGCTCTTGATATTCCGTGACTCGAAAGAGAAATAAGAGGCTGCTCTCAGTCTACCAACTCCCATAGGCGACAAATCTATCCGAAACACCAAATTTTCCCACAGGAAACCCTATCGTTAGAACCCCTTGTAAGCGACCTCCTGTGACCCCTTGCTATCTCTTTAAGCGACCACTAGACACCCCGCGTGATCTCTAAGTTCGCCGTATGTACTACACTACTCGGAGTATACGAAGACTATATGTATCTAGTGACAACACGGAAAAACGCATATTATAACTTAACACATTGCATGCAATAAATTCTCTTCCAAACCGTAGGAGTGCAGTGGATCGGCAGTTTCGGTACCTCTTCGAAAGAGGCAAAAATGCGGTTTGATTTTCGTAAGCGACCAACAGGGGGGTAATTACATGAGACCGGGACGAACTCGGACCGGTATGAGTTAGTATCGCTCTCCATGCATTTCGTTTCATACATTTACATGGGACCGGCTTGGATCGGCCTAAAAACGAACTCAGAGCGGTCTGACTTCGTGTCGGTCGCTGACCCGACACGAGTTATTTTACTGTACCGTTGTAATGTAAAACGGAAAGGAATCTCAGACCGGGTCCATAAATAGCATGTTGCTTCCTATGGCTCCATCGTTTTTACTTTTTCTTAGCAAAATAAGAACACTGCTATGAATTATAACTGTAAACAAGACTTGGAAGTAGCTTTAATTGAATATATGCTTCGGTTAATGTGAGGGATTGCACCATTTTGAGATGCTCTACATTTAACATGCCACCATGCAGATGAGCGTTAGATAAGTTTACAATTTTCTGGGAGCACTAAAATCTGCGGTTCTCTACTCACTGTCTTAATTGGCGTAAATTGTGTACCAGTCAGGTGACCAGTTAGGACAGTTAGTGAACAATATCTTAAATAATCGACTAACGAAAGTTATATAGCTACAAGAATCTCCTGTTTTTGAGTTTGTACCGGTCTCATGTAATCAACGAAGCGTTTCGTCCCGCTCTTATGTAAACGATTGCAAAAATTACAAATTCGTACGGGCCTGAGTTCGTCCCGGTCTCATGTAATTACCCCCTAAATTCGCATTTTGGGTGGTAGCCTTACGGATATTTCGACTGTAATTGCACATTTCTCATTGATAGCATTACCGTGTTATAATAAGGAAAGAGTGTTGTACTGCTATTGATTCATGTTGAACCACAAGTGGATCAAGAGGAATTATGTCTGACCTTGATTGAAGAATTTTTCGTGGTGCGACTGCGGCTGTACAATCGTGTGTCATGCGATCGTGTTTGAATTAAGTCCGGATAGTCGTCGAACGGAACGAACTCAGACCAGTATGAGTTCGTATCGGTCTCCATACATTTCTTTTCATGCGTTGACATGGAACCGGCCTAAAAATGAACTCAGACCGGTTTAACTTCGTCTCGGTCGATGACCCAACACGAGTTACTTTCGTACCGGTCTGAGACCGTATCGTTCTCATATAAATTGGAAACGAATCTTAGACCGGGTCCATAAATAGCATGTTTCGTCGTATGGCTCCACGATTTTTGTTTTTGTTTTGGCAATGAAAGGACGTAGAAGTAGCTTCAATTGAATACTCCGGTGCTTGGATTAATGTGAGGGATTGCACCATTTTGAGTTGCTGTGCAGCAAATATTAACAGGCCACCAGATGAGCGTTAGATAAAGTTTATAATTTTCTTGGAACAGTACAACTCTACGTTTGTGTACTCACTGTTTACTGGCGTAAATTGGTTACCAGTTGGGAACGTCAGTAATAATATGTTAAATAATCGACTTGTGAAAGTTATATAGCCCCAAGAATCTCCTGTTTTATAGTTTGTACCGGTCTCATGCATGTAACCGACCAAGCATTTCGTCCCGGTCTCATGTAAACGGCTGCACAAATTACAAATTTGTACTGGTCTGAGTTCGTCCCGGTGTCATGGTATCACACCCATATTTTAAGAGATACTTAAAGAAGTAACGGGAAACGTAAAACGACCAAAACTGCAAAAGGAAGCAGATAATGGAGAAGACGAGACATTGTTGATTTGTGCAAGCAACTTATTAAATTTTAACGGGAGATTTTCTGCTGGATCACTTCCACGGGATGAGCGCTTGTCTAATAACTAATCAAAATTGGGTTAATGCAGTCGTGCTGATTTCAGACTTCTTGTACATTTTTGAACTGTTAGAAACCTCTTGCGTTTGATTCGACCAGGCTGTGTTCAAACAGGAAGATCCGTATTGCTTAAAATAGATAATAAAAGAATTCATAATGAAAGTAATGCTCTCTGGTCCAACAGAAATTTCAGTGTTTCAATTATTTTGTATCCATTTGTGGGCTCATCCTCGGTGTAAGAACTTGTTAAACTCACCGGTGACGTAAAACAAAGAAAACAAAGAAGTCAACAACAATAAAACCAAGACAAACAAAAGTACAAAACAAAGAAAAAGTTTACAAGTTCTTACACCGAGGTAAACCCCATTTGTGTACACAAACAAAAGCTGCCTTTGTTAAAATATGACCATTGCAAGTCAGTCATTGATTCTAATATCTCTGCTGACAGTGACACTCAGAGGTTTGACGAGTCCCTTCTTTCCAAGCGCTCGAAAACACGAAATGTGGATTGCTGGCAAAGACATTGCGGCAAGGTCACGAATAGAACGTCGATATTTCTAATATCAATCAAAAGGGACAGTTAAGAAGACACACGCAAGAAGACAAGATTTTGGCAAGGCTAATGCGGCTTTAACACTTACATCACGAGAATAAAAGTGGAGCAGAACCAGTCCTTCAACAGGCTAAGGTGAAGCAGGGAGACAAGACACTCGGCAGGCAAAACTATTTTCTGTGAACTTAAACTTATTCTTAAAGTGCTCTAAAGCCACTAGTGGTTGGGAACTGGTGGTTTCGTGCCTATCAGCCTTTCCGACAAAGTTAAGACGAAAGTTATTCTTCGTTTTATTACAAAGTTCTGAACAGAGATATCAGGAAGTAGTCATGAGGCTAGGTGAGTGGTATCTTGAGGGACAACCAACCCTGTAACTGGTATTTTCAGTGCTTATATTAGTTGTATTGGCGATAGAAATGAACGACATTTATACCTAATGTAACGCGCTCATAGATCAAGGAGGGTTTTTTTTGCAGTGTTTTTTTTCCATATTTTCACTTTTCATACCGGTAGTATATATTCACGGTCTAGCCAAATGTCCTGTATGTCACGCAAATATATAAATACATCGGGGAATTTTTTTAGCCTAAAAGTTGAAGTTTAAGTCATAATAATATTGCAATAGAAAAAAGCAACGGAAATTAGATTACACATTATCTTTTAACAGAAATTTAACAAATGTTTAGGCAGCGATTCTTGCATATAATTTGCCATGTTGTCATTATGCAAAATAAACATCTGTAAAAAGAGGAAAATTAACTCCGGCATATCTTGGATTTACCACTGAAAAGAATAACTCTGTGATTTTGAACGTACTTTTATACACTTACTCTTAAAGTGCTCTAAAGCCACTAGTGGTTGGGAACTGGTGGTTTCGTGCCTGGTCGGATATGAAACGTGTGTGGAATTCATACCCGTGGCATTATATGTATTCATTTGACCGGTGATAGGGTTTTTCAGAGGCAATACCTCTTAAGTTTGAGTATACACTAGGTCGCCATTAATAAAGATTTGGAAAAATGATCATCAGAGCTGTATTAGATGAAGATGAATATTTCCATGATCAATGTTACAATGACATCAGAGTTGTCATAGTAACGAAATGACGTCATTTCATATTCTACTTGCACATGAGATCTCTTGATTTGCAGCCTATTTCTTGGTACTTCTTTTCGCAACTGCAGAAGTTTCAATATATGAAATTCATGAACCAATTTAATGACCAGCTCCCAATTGTTGCGATGATCCTCTCACAATTATTTCTTCATCCTGCAGTTTCAATATATGAAATTGATATAATTCATTTTTCCTGGGTATATCATAAACCAATTTAATGACCATCTCCCAGTTGTCTTGCCATCTCAATCGGTTTGAGCCCTGCACCGGTATCTCAAAGGTCAGGGTTCAAATCCTGGCAAGTCTGGCAGTCTTTGACTGCGATGATCTTCTCTACATCGATATGTAACAGCAACCACAACAAATACGTTATCGCAAAACCCTCGCGGGCCTAGAAAGAGTCAGCAGTGAGAATAAACGGAAACAACCCAAAGGGGAAAAAAAGTTCAACAAACAAACAAAAAAACAGGAACTAAACAGATAAAAAACGTACAAAGAAAAAGAAAATACAGTCGACGCTCTCGTTGGCGACCACCTCGCAAATTCGAAACAGTGGCCGTAACTAGAGCTGCTCGCTTACGAGAATGTGCTTTCGTAAGCGAACGCATGGTAAAACAATAGAGGGTGGTCGATTACGAGAGTTTAAGAAACTTTTTAATAATTCGTTAAGAAAGGTGTTCATAACTAGAGCTGGTCGCTTACGGGAGCTTCGACTGTAGCTTCATCGGGATTTGAACCAACACTATGATGACGCCAGCTCATAACCACACTGCGCCACGCTGCCACCGCTGCTAGTTAATTTGTGAGGTAAAGCATTTTTCTCTGCCACTGTTTGAAGCTGGTGGAAAGAAAATTAGGTATTTACGCGTATTTCAAATCAATTTTGCATTATTGCATTCAATTTACTCTCGGGTTCAACAGCTGATCGATGTACGGAGTTGTTGCTATATGATGTGGGTCCTTAGACATTGACTTTTGCTTACGATCTAGGTACAACTAGATAGTCTGCGCAAAAGAATCTTGTAGTTGATCAATCGTGCTGAAAGCTTTCAACAGTTCGAGAAGCAGCAGAATAACGTATGGTTGATTAAAGCCTAATGCTGATATTTCTTAGTATTATGTAGTGGTCATTTTATCAAAAATCAACCAATTCATCTCCATTGTTGGAATAATTTTCTAATCTACCAATTACCTACAAAAAATACCAATATTTGTAAATTTACCAATGATTTTTCAATGCTGAAGTAGTATTTTTTTTTTTGACGATTACAATGTTATGCCAACGTGAAATCTTATATTTTCCTTTTTTTTTGGTAATTCATCCGTTTTTCACTTTAACTTGGGCTTCGTGGGACTCATTTTGGGGTTAGCAAATCGTCGGGACCGTCCCTTTTGCTAACTTTTTAGTTCCAGACAAGGTCTTCATGATTTGTTGGATCTTAAAATGCTCGGAGCATATATGCAGATACATAGAATCAGTACTCTTTATCAGCGCGAGGACAAAGACGATCTTTTTGTTATAAGATTCCTCTAACTCGAAAAATAGAAAGAGTTGAGGGAGGTCTGACCTTTTAAAATTATTTTTACGCACGAACATGACTTAATACATCCAGCTCTTGTTCATGTGCTTTCAAAAATGGGCGCCCTTTCCCTTAGCCTCGAATTGAAGCTATAAAGTAGTTACCAGGCGTTCTGGCTCAAACAGTTGGAACTGGGCAACTAAATCCGTTCGAAATACAACGTCACATGACCATATTGTTTCCTTGTACTGTAGTTAACAAATTGACGCCAGTTTTTTATCGTCTGTCCTCTTATCGATGATAAAATGACATCATAACATTGTCAAAAGTAGTTAGGAAAATGGGCATCCTGGAGCATACTTCGAATTTTCAGAATTGCATTAAAAAAACTAATAAAATCCCAGAATATGCAAGGGAATTTAAAAATGAATATCTTTTTATAAGAGGGATAAATAAAACATGTGAAAGATTTATAAAGATATTAGATTTAGATGCAAAAATATTTAATTCTCCTCAAGCTTATCAACTTAAGCTTTATATTAAAAGATTTGTAAAAGCTAAAGAACTTGGTTATCTTGAGGATAATAGCAATTTTAAATTTAAAGAAAGTGATGTTAATTTTATTAATTCACTTGATACACAAATAGATGATTATATGGATTTATTTTATGATATAGAAAGTGGTGAGTTACATCAGGAAAGGTATGAAAATGAATATCCAAATTTAAGAGAGTTTAATGAATGTTTTAGAAAATTTATGGAAAAATTATATATCAAAGAAATGACTTATAGTGATTTTCTATTAACAGATAGTGATGATGAATTTTATATTTATTTACCTGATAGTGATAGTGATTAATAATCTTCTAACATATTTGTTAAAAGATTAATTTATTATATTTTTTTGTTTTTAAATAGCTTAAAAAAGAGAGATATATAATAAAATGATTTTAGTTTCTCCTGAGTTGGATGAATTTAATCCTTCAAACTGGGAATTAAAACCTTTTGATTTAAAAATGAAAAACGATTTAGCAAGAAATCATCCTTATCAACGAACTATGTTTTTGGTATATAAGTACTATGCTTCTTATGATGATGAAGTTGAAGGTGAAATACTATTTGAAATTGACTACTTTCAATTATTAGATAGATACTATAGATATGGAATTACTTTTGAAGATAGTGATCTTTATCCTGAAGAATTTTTTGGTTTTGGAGTTCCTTTTAACAATAAATTATATGTATATGAAGATTTTATAAAAAATTACCAATTTAGATATATATTAAAAAATAGATATGACTTAAAACAACTTTTATTTAATGATGTAAAAACAATTAACCTAGATGATGCTGATAACGGACCAATAACTCTTTCAGAAGTAGAAAAGTGGAAAAGAAAAGTAATTAACAAACAAACAGATAGAAAGACAAAACTACGGCTTTTAGATCCAAATATTTATCATAGTTTAATTACTTTTGTTGTTTTTTCTAAGTTTGAAGGAAGATCAAATAATAAGATTGTTTATGATTTGAGTTTTGATGGAATTGAAGGAGTTGATAGAAAACTTAATAATTATAAAAATAAGTATAATTATACAAAAATTTATGAGGATAAAATATTTAATAAGATTAGTGGTTTTTTAACAAAAATATTCTAATCAAATAATAAACATGGAAAGTAAAAAAGTTTTAGCTAAAAAAATAAAAGAAGCAAAAGAAACTAATAATTTAGAAAGGGAAAAGTATTTGAAAGGTTTAAGTAGATTTTTATCAATTGTTGAAAATTTTTATAAAGTATTAGAATATTATGAAGAAAAAGAAGAATTTAAAGATATAATTGAGTTTTTTAGTTATATAAGTCAGATTTTTAATAATTATATGACTAATTGTATTGAAGGTAAAAAAGTTAATTTAGATAAACTAGAAAATATTAATAGTTGTTTAGCTTATGAATACTACTTATGTGGTGGAGGAGTAAATTATGATGGTAATTATTTTTTAAGTTTAGGAAAAACTTTTGAAGAAGAGGAAGAAGAAAAACATAAATATTTAGATATACCTATTCCAATTAGAAATACAGATGAATGGTATATTCGTTTAAAAAATTTAAATAGACTAAATTATTTTCCTTTTGACCAAGATTAATCTAAACAAATAATAAAAAAAATGGAACCAAGATCAAGAGAAACTACTCCTACAAAAGAGGATTTGGATTTTATAGTTGATGATGGATATAAACATGATGTGGATTTAGATTATGTTCCAGATGATGAAAAATATGTTGTTAGTGGAAAAGATTTCAAAAAACTAACCAAAAATGCTATAAAACTCGGTGCTGAATCTCGATTATTCAACACGTAAAAATAACAAATATGTAGCTACACTTCCAAATGGAAAGAAAGTTCATTTTGGATCACCAAAATATTCAGACTATCTTATTCATAAAGATAAAGATAGAAGAGATAAATATCTTGCTCGTGCTACAAAGATAAAGAATAAATCAGGAGAATTAACTTATAATAATCCCGAATCGGCAAACTTTTGGTCTGTTCATTTACTTTGGCCAAAAAAATGATTTAAAAGAATAAAAGATATGATAAAAATGCAGTTATCCAGTTACGAAAATCTTACCCAAGACAATATTATTTTAATGAAGCCAGAGAATTTAAAGTAAAAGATAGCAAGATCAAATACAAACGTATCCCAATTGAAATCAAATATCCAAATGGAAAGAAAGGAGCTTTGGTAATTGAATCTCCAGTTCTTTTCTCTTTTGGTGTAAATGAGAAGAAAAACCAAGAAACAAATAAGTTAGTAGGATATAGTATGCCAGTATGTCTTTGGGCTAAAGATAGTGAGCCGAATACTAAAGAAAAAGCATTTTTAGTAATCCTAAACGATGTTGTTTGAACGTGCCAAAGTCATTTAGAGAGTGAATACGGTGCAGATCTAGCATCATCTCTGTCTTTACCATTTTACTACAAACAGATAGAATATACAGACAAGAAAGGAAAAAAGAAAACAAAAGTTGATGAATCATCCGCACCAGTTCTTTACGCAAAACTTATTTACTCAGAAAAATCAAAGAAAATTTTATCTTTGTTTAAAGGAAAGGGAGGTAAGGATTTAAATCCTTTTAAATATATTAATCAGTATTGCAATGTTAAATTAGCATTGATAATTGAAGGAATAATTTTATAAGTAAAACTGTTACATCTTTACAAATAAAAGTACATGAGTGTTATGTTAAACCATTAAAACCTAGAGAGTCTTTACTAACAATTGATGAGGAAGAGGAAGAGGAAGATAGTGAAGGTGAATATGTAAAAGATGGTATTGAAGACTTAGTTATTTCGGATAAAGAAGAAACTGAGTAAATAATAGGATTTTATTTTTAATACATTATTTGTATTAAAAATCAACCAAATCCTTAGAACTCACCCATGAGTTAAATTTATCAGGATATCCACTCCATTTTACTAATGCCATTTTCTTCCTATTATCCCTCCTGATAATCTTTTCTATTCTAAATGTTTGTTGTTTTTCTTTTTGTAATTCTTTCTCGTAGAAAGAACCCTTAATCTCTTCTCCCATCAAATCAACGATGTTATATGTAACAGGTTTTGTTGGTAGAACTTTATCAATCACAAATATCTCCTCTGTCCAGTTTGGTGTGTAATCTTTATCAAATACCTTTCTCTTATACTTAGAAATTCTAACATGATCACCAATTGCAAACTTTGATTTACCAGGTTTTAAGTAAATAGAATCACCATACAAATTAGACCAAACTTTACATTCATTTTTCTTTTTACTTGCTTCAACAGGAGTCATTTTTATACTAGAATGTCTCGAGTTATTGTAATCATTAACTAGTTTATCTATCTTATCCCAGTAAACAGTGTTGTTATTTACAGTAAACATCTTCCACATTCTGTTTTTCATTGTTTTATTCCATCTCTCAACAACACTAGATTTTTCTTCGTTTTCAGTGTGATACAACTTGATTCCCTCTCTTTTCAGAAAATCTTTGAAATGTATACTGATAAACTCAGAACCTTTATCTGTCCATAACATTTGAGGTTTACGTTTACTTTTGAATATATCACCAAATGCTTTACTAACAGTTTCAGTTTTCTTATCTTTCAACCCCCTAATCCATCCATACTTGCTAAACACATCAATAACCATCAAAAGATATTTAATCCCTTTGTTCCACTTACTAAACTTTTGTATTTCAACTAAATCAGCAGCCCAGATTTCATCAATCCCGTTTGACACCACTGATCTCTTTTGAAAGTTTCTTGTGATTGGTTTGTGAAGTTCGTCGGCTAATTGTTGAGACCAATCACTACTCAACGCCGACGCGAGTTTAAACCAGGTCCAAGTTTTTGTTTTGTATTTATCATATTTCTAGCAAGAAAGTGACCCCATTGTCGCTTTTTCCAAGGAATTGCATCTAGTGATTTTACCATTTTTTTATCTGCAGTATGTTTGCATTTTAATTGTCCACTTTTAGGTTTATTTCGGCAAATTGTGTAATCAACATCATGTTGCATACTAACTGCATCAGTTGCTCCTGTAGGTTGTTGATAGATTTCTAATATATTTCCCTCATCATCGTGACGAAGTTGATCATGAAGAGGATTTCCAGGTCCAGTATAATTATGGCCTGGTATAGTTAATCCTCTATAAGGTGCAACTTTTAGTATTTGTTTGTGAATGTCAACTCCCAGAGGCGGATCCAGGATTTTTCGTAGGAGGGGGTGCACTACTAAGGAATGGCGTATTTGACTGGTGACGTAAACAAATTTTAATAGCGAATACGAAGAAGAAGGCTTTCGATTAGGCAATACCATAATCTGAACTGCTGAGAATACATATCAAATGATAAAGCAAATTTTGTATAACTGTGAAGCAGACTGCACAGTGTTAATTAGAAATCCGCAGGTCATTTCAGGAGGGGGGGTGCACCCCCCTGCATCCTCCCCCAGATCCGCCCCTGACTCCTCGTCCTGATCGGCCGTCTAAATCCTTTCTATCAGTTTTATATTTTTTTTTTAGGTCTAACTTTGGTTGACAGCTGGTCCATCGCTGTTCCAACAGAATCTTGAATATATGGAGTTAGTTTATTAATTCCATAATTTACAGGTTTCTTTTGTAGTTTTTTATTTCTCATTAAATCACTTGCTCCATATCGCCCCATTTCAACTGCTTTTTTACCCATCCAAGGTAAACCGTAATGAACAAATCCGTCAACTGCTGTGCCAACTACAGTATCAACGGGCTATTTAGTTTTTTGACTTATTTTTTGTTTTTCTCTTTTTTCCACTTCCAGTTTGAGAAACTGATCCAGTTTTTACATATCTAACTTTTTTATTTCCACAAACTGCGCATCTACAAAAGAATTGAGTTCTACCTCTTTTATCTGTTTGGTAACCACTTAGCTCTGTGCAAGGAGTTACTCTTTTATCTACAATATGATTCTTTCATTTAGTATAATGTTTAGATAAATATGTCTACTAGATCTATCTAATTTTCTAAAAAGTGAACTTCAAAAGATATACAATTTTTTAAACGTGAGTTATGAATACGCTGATTTTGCTAGATTGGAAAATGACACTCGATTTATAAAAATACTTGAGTTGCTTATGGAAATAAGTGAGAAATCAAATACACTTAACAAAGTTGTAAAAGGTAATTATCTATTTATATAATAAAATGGAAGCCAAATTCTTTTCTGAGATAGAAAAAAAGATGGATGTTAAAACACTAAAAGATTTTGAGAAAGATGTACGAACACAAATAAATAATGAGTTTGAGTCTCTTAGAAAGAAAAATGATGATCTTTCTAGAGTACTAATGGCTGGTGAATGTGAGATGTGGGAAAAAATTCGAAATGAGGAATATTCTTGGTTGAATATAAATAATAATAATAATAAGAAGAAACTTTATCGTCTTATAGATATTTACTCAAAATTTGATGATATAGTTGATAGTGTTAAAGATCTAAATACAAAAGTTGATAGGGTTAAACAGCTAAAGGATACACCTGTGGATTCAGACTAAATATAAATTTCATATTTAGTCTTAAGAGAAATATTCTTTTATAAAATCACTGTTGTCATTATCAAAATGTGGGTTATGTATTACATCTAGAATACTAGTTCCACGTTGTCTCTCAAACAGATAATATAAACACCAATATCCACAGAGAACAGTATTGCGATTTTGTATTTCATCCATTGAGTACACTATACGTTTTCCAGAAGTACGAAAATACTCTAATGCTTCATTTCGCATTATCAAACCAAATGGATCAAAGTACTCAACTACATTGTCAATATTTCTATAACAAACCCAGTGTGTTCCAGGGCCAGTCATGTCATCGAGATTGATTACTCCGCATTCTTTTCTAATCTTTTTTGGTAGACCATCACGACTGTATATTCCTCTAAAATGTTTAATACCAAGTTTCTTTACCCAATCCATGAGGTCAAAGTTGGATAGAGGTTTGATTACAAAATGGTTCCGAGAATTGGAATTGAGTTGAATGGGCTGTTTTTTCCTAGAAGTAGACCTTTTCCTTTGGACTTGGACTTTTTTTTTTTAACTCCCATTCCTATTGGGTTTTCCCAAGTACCAAAAAAGGGTGGTGAGCGATAAGGATAACCTTCACCACGTGTTGGTGGAGGAGGATGTGGAACGTAAACATTTGCTGTATTAGATGATGAATGTCTATCAACCTGAAGTCCAGAGCCAAACATCTTAGATACTAAACTAATTGCCATTGGAATACCAATAGAAGCAAGTGTTCCCAGAAATCCCCCTTCTATCTGTTTACGAGTTGGTTTGATAACCAGTCGTCCACCTGATTGATAAATTTTGTTTATTAGGTCTATTTGTGATTTGGTTAATTCTCCTCTAATAGCTGGCAACATTGGGAAAAACTTTTTTGGAATTGTAATTCCTTTTCCAAATATTTTATTTATTCCAAGTTCTCCAAGTGCAGTAGCAGCACCAGTTGCTAATGCAGGAACAGCTTTTGAAATTCCTTTTATTGCATATGGTAGTACTTTTGTTCCAAGAGAAGCAAGTGCTGAAAATAAGTTTCCATCATGTTTTACGGAACGTCTAATTTGTGTTTTACTTATCTTTATATCTGATCCTGTGCCATTTGCAATAGATTTTTTTATTTTGTCAATTTGTCTTTTTGTTAACATTAACTCATCAGAACCTCGAAGATATGAATGTTTTAACCGAAGAGTTAGTGGTGATTTATTTATTATTGCAGAAGCCAGTTTTGACTTTTGCCCATCTGTAAGTGTTACTCCGTATTCAATATAAGTAGTCATTTATTTATAGAATTATATTAAATCTAAGCACGAAGCAATAGTTTTCCATCTTGTTGTGATATTTCTGCTACTCTTTCATGTAAGACTAATGCGTAAATATTATAATCAGCGTTTGGATTAGCAGTTAATTCGTAATGAAATGCTAGTTTTGTAACACCATCTTTGATATCCATTTTTTGTTTTGTCAGGTCAAAATAAACAAAAGGAAATAAAGATTTAAAATTACTTATATTAAGTAATGTTCCACCTTGATAATCATTATTTGCATAGACGTATGACATTACATTTCTAAAAACTCTTGACATATCTGTAGAAGGTTTAAAGTGAATAAATGGATATTCGTTTCCATTTGCAACTTCCAGGTGACAATCTCTTATATTAGCATTATTTGGTAAATTAAAAGTGTCGTATAGAAATGGATTTGCTGTTTGTTCATCAATTCTTGCTGTATCAATTCCAAAAACAAATACATGCCTTGGCTTTGAAATAGCATTTGTAATTCCAAAATGTCCTGTTTGTTGTTGTGTATTATTTGACCTTTCAACTACTTCATTCAAATATGTCCATTTGTAAGGTTTAAGATAATTTTCCATGTACAACTTTTGTCCTTCTGAATTAAACGTAAGTTTTGGAATAAAAAGTTGTAGTCTTGTTATAATAACTCTACAATCATCAGCACCTTGAAAAATTAAATTTGCATCTTTTTCAATTTCGATACTTAGCTCAATTTTTGTATTAGGAAGTAGTTTATCTTCCAATGCTTCAAAGAAAGAATATCTATTAAAAGGAATTTCACAATTTACTGTGGCTGATGCACCTAATAGTAATTTCCTTTGATGAAAACCTTTATTATAAGTTCCTTGAGCAGGTCTTTCCTCTGCAGCTGTTGATGTATCAAGAAAATAAAATTCGTTTGCAGCAACACTCTGTGCATATGAAGGATTATACTCAGGCAAATTTTTAATATTTACAACATGATTTGCATAATTACAACTATAAACTTCTCGACCATTTGCCAGGATACTTAATTTTTCTATAAAGGAGTTACTACCATTTACAATTCCGTTATGGTCGGCAGCCGCAATATTTCCTCCATCTGCCAGCTTATTTACCTTAAAATCCATTGATAATCGTGCGTTATACCAATCAAAAGGAGTAGTTTCTCCTGTGTTATCAGCAACAAATCTAAGACATGTTTTCGTTTGGTAAGCGTTATTTGCTGGGGCTGTATCTAAAGTCCGTTCCAGGTCAAATACAACATCTTCATATCTATCTAAATATTTTGGATTTCTAAATGACTTCATTTTATTTTAATAATTATATAATTTTCTCTTACGTGTTGAACCTCTACTAAGAAGGTTAATCAATCTTTGATTTAACTCTTTTTCACTTGGAATTGTTTCAACATTTTCATTAAAAGTAACTTTTGGTTTATTTTTACTTTTTGATAACATTTGCACTATCTTATCACCAGCCTTTTTGCCAACACGTTCACCGGTTTTTGTTGCAGCTGCTGTTACCGCTTTTTAGCTCCTTTTTTTACAGCTGATTTGACTGTTTTTCCAAATAATTTTGAACCACACGATTTAAACACATCCATCATTCCTTCTCTGTAAATATGTTGTCTTGTGTATTTTCCCAATTCTGGGTCAAATCTCATTTTAAACTCTGATTGTCGCATCATTTTATTTTAATAGTTATATTACATTGAATGGAGTATTAAAGTCATAAACCAATCAATACCATTAAAATTTACTGGTCTTCCAAGTGAGTCTGTCACATAGACTATCATTTCATCAATGTGAAATGATGATAAAGGGCAATACAATGGTCTTTTAGGTTCAAACGTAAATGGAAAAGACCTTGTTAGATTGTCTGTTGGTATCACAGCAAGAGTATTTGTATTTATTCCATTTACAATGCTATCAGTTATTGCGCTTGTGTTAATATTTAACACATCAATCGAATTTGTGATATTTGGTAGTTTTGATCCATACTCTGTTTTTGTAATAAGTTTCTTTTCAAATCCAATCAGGTCTCCAAATTCTGTTCCTCTCAGATCAAGTTGATAATCACCATCAAGTGATATAAGAATTCGATAGGTAGATAGAATAAAAGTTAGATTGATTGAATACTTTTTTTCTCCTTTGGAATCTGTTGTGTGATGATTTTTTGAGTCATGTATTGATGAATATAATCATTAATATCAGAGTAGGAATACATTCCATCTGTAAAAGTAATTGTTTGCCAGTTGGTTCCATCATGAGTGTATTTGATTTTATTGTTTTTATAATCACTTCTAATGTTGTACCAAGAGTAAGTCATGGACAGCCGATCAAGAGCAAGTTGGTGTTTCATTTCAGGGTCAAGTTTTAGAGATGGATTAAACTTAATAGTAAAATCACCAGGTCTGCTTGTTCCTCTTTTTTCCCTGTTTATTGAGGAAATGTGGATAGCTCGTTCTTCCATTTTTATCTAATTGATATATAATTTTTTAGTAAATCATTAAGTTGTTTTTTTGAGATCACTTTCATTTGGTTGAGAAGATGTGCTATTTGAGAAAACTCAGGTATCACACCATTATTCCCAGCAAGAATTGAACCATCAAGTAATTCAAGTATTTTTAGTAGTTCTTGTGGGTTGTTAAAGTAAACAATACCCTGCCCTACTTGATAGTTAATTGAGTTAAAATATCTATTCATTGTATTTCTATATTTTTTTAGTATACCTACTGATTCTTTTAATTTATTAGTTCCAGCTACATACTCTGGAGATGGATTTTTATTATTTTTTCTACCTACAATTCGTCCATCCAACTCACGTATATTTTGGTTTAAGTTTGTATGTATTTGTTCTAAATCTTGAACACCAACTTCATTAAATTCACTTGGTCTTGGATAATCATAATTTTGTAAAAAAAGAAGATCACTACCAACAAAGTTTTTTTCTAAATTACCTAATGGTCGAGGAACAGGTACCCAGTTACTATCCCAGCCTTTTCCATCATCTGGTGGAGGCATTGGCATCCAATCATCTGAGTCTGGCAATTCTTTTATATCAGCTAATCTTTCATTAGTTTCATTAATCTTAATTCCAATCCTGATGTTAATGCAAGTTGATTTTTTTTAAGTTGTGCTATAGTTGCGTCTTGCTGCTCATCAATACTTTTTTTAATGCTATCTTGAGATTTAATAAGTGGTTTAAATGTCTCTTTAAAACCTTCCCGAGCATCTTGTTTTTGCCATTTTGTTATTTTTATTACATCTCTCACCTGTTGAGTTAAAGAGTCAGCTTCAATTTTATTTCTTGCAAGTTTTTATTCTTCAATATCCATTTTATCTAATGATTAAATAAAATGGAAATACCAAACTATGATAGTAGCGGTGACCCGGATAAAAAAAAAAATATAAACAGTTATTTCCTTACATGCCATCAGACACATTTCGGATGTTAATCTGTGGAAACAGTGGAAGTGGTAAGACTAATCTATTATATCATATGTTAATTAAACCACTGTTGTACTTCGATGAAATTTATCTTTATGCGCGTAATTTAGAGCAGGATAAATATAAACAATTAATGCAAAAAATGAGAGAACTGAGTTCTAAAGTTGGATATGAAATACTTCATGTGAGTAATGATGAAATAACCCCAGTGTCAGAAATGGGTTATGAAGACAATCAAAAACTTGTGATATTTGATGATTACGTTTGTGATAAAAACCAGAGACAACTTACTGATTATTTCATTCAAGGACGACATAAGAATTGCTCTGTAATCTACCTCAGTCAATCATTTTACAAAACTCCAAAGGATATTCGATTGAATTGTTCTCATTACTGCCTTTATGAATTTCCATCATCGAGGGAATCCAATAGGATATCATCTGAGTTGGGAGTTGACAAAGAGACATATAAAGCAGCAACAAGAAAACCATTTACATTTCTATATGTTGATAAACCCAGAAAACGTATTGCAAAAACCTTTACTGGTAATCTAGCCTAATAATTAAAATGGGTATATTCAACGAACAATCTTTTGATCATCCTTTTGCTAGAGGAATTCAGGGTGCTCCAGGAGTAGGATTTAATCTCACTTCAAGTGGGGATTATGATATGATAAATAAAAAACTAAGAAATGTTGGTGCTCCGGAATCAAACACCGATGCGGCAACCAAGAAGTATGTTGATGATAATTCTGGGGGTGGAAAAACATCATTAATAACAGTAGATTCAAACATTTATATGAAAGATACATATCGTATACTAAATCTTAAAACACCATCTGATGTAGATGAAGCAGCAACAAAGTCTTACGCTGATAATAATTTTTTAAAAACTGATGGAACAAAACCAATGACACAAGATTTAAGCCTTGGATCTTATCGCATAACTCATCTTGGTGATCCTACAGGTGATGGTGATGCAACTTCAAAAAAATACACTGACAATTTGGTTAACACCAAACTAAATGATTACATCAAAAAAGATGGCACTGGAGATTTCAACACTGGCGGCCACAAAATACTAAATCTTCGCACACCCACATCAAACAGTCAACCAGCAACAAAAAATTATACCGATAATAATTTTTTAAATCTAGATGAAACAGAAAAAATGACTGGAAATCTAGATATGGACAATAATCAAATATTAAATCTACCAACTCCAACGGGTGGAAAACAACCAACACCATTAGCTTTCACAGATATGAAGTATCTTCACGTTGCTGGAACAAATAAAATGACTAATAATCTAAACATGGATAACAAAAGTATAATTTATTTAAAACCACCAACAAATGATACAGATGCTGCAACCAAAAAGTATGTGGATGACTCAATACCTGATACTAGTTCTTTTATAAAAAAAGATGGAAGTGTATCAATGACTAATAACCTAAATCTTGGAAACCAAAAAATAGTTGGTCTCGCAACTCCAGTGTCAAACACAGATGCTGCAACCAAAAAGTATGTTGATGATAATACTGGAAGTCCAGATTTGAGTGATTACTTGGAAAAAGATGGTACTGTCGCTATGACTGGAAACTTAAATCTTAACAACAATAAAATAATAATCTTAGTAAGCCAACCCAAGACAATGAAGCAGTAACCAAAGATTATGCCGATAAACTAGTTCATCACACTGCAGTTCAAGCAAGTCATTATAAAAATGAGTTTGCTTATATTATGACTAGTGGGGCTCAATGGACTGATGAATCAGATACTGATGTTAGTTTTTCGATAACTAAGATAGATGACTTACCACCAAACAAAGGTAATTTTCACGATTACAACCATAAAGTAATTTACATGAATATATTTAAAAATTGCCAAGGTCAATATAAGTATAAGATGGGAATTAATTTTTACCGACTAACTGCAAATACTGACTATACCCTTTGTCTAGAAATACTCAACACTGATTATATTCTTTGGAATAATACTCAACTAAGTATTGACAAACGAACTTCAAGAGGATTATCAATTGGAAATGTAGGTATAAGAAAACTATCCCATAGGTATACTGATTCAAAAGGGCAAACAAAAGATATGTACTACCATAGAATAATAGTCAATTTTCGGAAGTTGTCATCTGGGAATAGATTCTTTCTTCACATTCTTGTTGATATTAATAAAAGGGTAATTTTTAGATATCCGCTCATTTTTAAGGGAGTTAACGTGATTGCCTATGGTATTGTGGGTGTAGACTTAAGTGTTCATATGAATTTATTCCAAGGAGATTCGGACCAAAGATTCGTTACAAGGATCTGGTTAGACTACGAAAAACAAAACGAGTGTGAATAAAAGGAAGAAAGATGAAAATACTTAGCGACAACATACTTACAGGATTTGAAGGCTCGAAGGAAACGTGAAAAGACTTTAGGCCGTGTAAACGAACAGAACTCGACTAGAACTTTACCTAAAGATTTTCGAGCGAGCACATGCCCCAGACCATAATATTACAACGACATATAAATGACGTAGTTCTTCTACCAGTCCCGCGCGGGCTAAAGACGGGAAAACTTAACAGATACAAGAAGAACGTTTTGAAACCTACATTCCGGCCCCTAAAATCGTGAGGCAATAGCAAAAAAAGGATTTTAAAGGAAACTTGACCGAAACAAAACGTTAAATCTAACAGTTCTCCAAACATATACAAAGTTCGGATCATAGTTCAGTTCAGCACTGCTTCATTCCCTCTGACATCTCCACTGACTCCAGGAGAACGATCTTATCGACAGGGCGATCATATTGCGAGGTTCTGGTCTTCACCGTTACACTCCTCATATGTTCATCAGTGCTGTTCTTGCGCACACTGATAATCCGACCAAGAGGCCAAGATGATCTCGGTACTCTATCGTCGACCACAAGTACTATGTCATCAACGGCGAAGTTCCTTGACGGATAAGTCCATTTCTGCCTCTCTTGCAACTGTGGCAAGTACTCTCTAATCCATCTCCGCCAAAACACGTCGGCTAAATATTGAACTTGGCGCCATCTTCTTCGGGAATAGCCATCCTCTTTCCTGAACACACCTGGGGGAAGTCTTGGGCCTGACCGTAGCAACAGCAAATGACTCGGCGTGAGAGCTTCAGAATCTGACGGGTCATCAGATGACTTCGTTATGGGACGCCCATTAACAATTGACTCCACTTCACACATGAGGGTAGTCAACCCTTCATCATCCAGCGACTGTTCCTTCATAAGTGCAACGAGAATCTTTCTGACAGTTCTAATACAACGTTCCCACACGCCACCGAAATGGGACCCCGATGGTGGATTAAACAGCCACTTGACATTTCTTTGCAAGAGGAACTCATGGATCTGACTCTTGTTCCAACCAGAGATAGCTTCTCGGAGTTCCTTGCACCCGCCAACAAAATTTGAACCGTTGTCCGACCTCATTACTTCAGGAACACCTCGCCTTGCGATAAAGCGGCGCATAGAGTTCAAGAACGAATCAGTGTCCATACTCTGGGCGACTTCCAAGTGTATGGCTCTGGTCGCCAAACACGTGTGCAAGACTCCATAACGCTTAACTTGACTTCTAGCCCTCTTGACCGCCGCCTGGTTAGCTCAGTTGGGAGAGCGCCGGTCTACTGAGCGGGAGGTCGCGGGTTCAAACCCCGGCCGGACCAACACTCAGGGTCTTTAAATAACTGAGGAGAAAGTGCTGCCTTTGTAATAATATCTGCAAACGGCTAGACTCTCTAGTCTTCTCGGATAAGGACGATAAACCGTAGGCCCCGTCTCACAAGCCCTTGTACATGTATTAAATCTGTGGGACGTTAAAGAACCCACACACTCTTCGTAAAGAGTAGGGCACGTAGTGCCCGGTGTAGTGGCCTATCTCACTTTCACACTCATGTATGGGGGCATCATTACTCATTCCTTCACCACTTGTAAACTGCACCTTAAGCAGTCTGGCAAAGTCCCCCAAATAGTGTTGTAAATTATCCCTGAAAAGCCCTGAGGGGAGTGGATAATAAGATATTTACAATTTGACCCAAAACGGACCGAAACAATCAACGCCCACAAAACTGAACGGGGGTTTGTTAGGTGTGACTCTGTCAGCAGGAAGATCGGCCATCTTCTGAGTTTTAAACGGAGCCTGTCTTCGCCTACAGCTAAAACAACGGTTTACAACTCTTCTCACCGCGACTCTTCCTTTGATAATCCAGTAACTCTTTCTGATCAAAGAGAGCACATATTCTTGACCAGAATGTCCAGAAAGCAAGTGATAATGCCTGACGATCAAATCTACAACATGATGTTTCTTAGGCAGTATTACAGGGTGTCTTTGCTCCTGTTCAATTGGTGCATGCCTCAATCTTCCTCCCACACACAGCTGGTCATCGCGCAGCTCAGGATCCAACTTGGCGATTGAACTTGATTTCTTGACGGAACCTGTTCTTCTGGCTCGGACTGATTTCTTGAGCTCAACTTTTGATTCTTTACCTTGCAGACACACCAACTCTTCTCTAAAGCATTGCCTTTGTACATACTTCAAGACTTCTATCTCAGCAGAGTGCATTTCTTCTACACTGATGGGACTGGGTATTTCGGAGACGAGTACTTTAGCTGTGCCTTCCTTCCGCCTGCGACACTCGCGCAGAAGATTAGAACGGTAACGAAAGATCCATGCCATCAATTTCTTAAGCTTATACCACGAGGAACAGGACTGCACTACTCGGTTTAAGAAGTCAGCTTCAACTGTAGACGCTACTGAGAAAGTTTTCCTTTCCCGTTTCACCTCAGGATCATCTTCTTTTATTTCCACAGAAATTTCAGGTCGCTTAGGCCAGCGGTCCTCTGCTTCCCACAAAAAGGGAGGGCCATTAATCCAGCGGCTTTGGTGGATGATGTCTTCAGCTGAAAGCCCTCTGGACGCATCGTCAGCTGGGTTGGAATCTGTGTCAACATAGTTCCACTGATCTGGTCGCGATCCTTCATGGATTGTTGTAATTCTGTTCGCGACGAACGTCTGAAATCTCTTCTCTTTGTTCGTAATATAGCTCAACACGCACGTGCTGTCCGTCCAAAAGAACTCTTCTTCTAGTGCTACATCCAACTCATGTTGCATCATCTTGTTCAATCTGGTGGCAACCACAGCAGCTGAAAGCTCCAGACGAGGAATAGTAACTGACTTCTGGGGTGTTTGTCTCGACTTCCCCATCAAAAAGGCACAATGGACATTTCCAGCTTCATTGACGACTCGAAGATAAGTAACAGCACCATATCCTTCACCTGATGCGTCTGAGAAATTGTGAAGTTGGCTAGACACTATGCGGCCAAAGTTCTTGGGCCTTAAACAACGTTCAACGGCGAACTGTTCGAGTTTTGGAAGTTCCTGCAACCAATCTTGCCAACGCTTTAAATCTTCAAGGGAATTCTATCATCCCAATCCAATCCCTTCCGGCACAGATCACGCAGAATTGCTTTCGCAGGCAGAATTAATGGTGCAACAAACCCTAGAGGGTCATAAATTGAGCTTATGACGGAAAGAATACCCCTCCTCGTTGGGGGTCGGTCCTTCACTGCAATCTTAAAACGGAAGGTATCTGACTGGACATCCCACAGAATGCCGAGGGCACGCTCAACAGGCAAGTTCTCGAGATCGAGCTCTTTGACCGAACTGGCTCTCTCGGATACTGGGACTGACTGGATGACATCGTAGGCATTTGAAATCCATTTCGTTAAGCGGAAACCTCCTTTGGCCAGCAACTGACGTAGCTGATCGACCAGTCGACTTGCTTGTTGGTTATCTTCCACAGACTTCAAGCAGTCATCAACATAGAAATTTCTTCTCACCGTCTGAATGGTGTCTTTATCAAAATGTTCCGCATTGTCTTCAGCCGTTTTCTGCAGTGCATAATTCGCACAACTGGGAGATGAAACTCCCCCGAAAAGGTGAACTAGCATTTGAAATTCTTCTGGTTCTTTGTCCATTTCACCACTCGGCCACCACAGGAAACGGAGGTACCTGCTATCCTCTATTGGTACGCGCACTTGATAAAACATCTTCTCAATGTCAGCCATGATGGCTATGGGCTGTTCTCTAAATCTTGTTAGGACTCCAATGAGCGAGTTGGTTAAATCAGGTCCTTGCAAAATCTGTTGATTGAGCGAGACATTCTGGAATTTTGCGGCACAGTCAAAGACCACCCGGACCTTGTCGGGCTTTTGTGGGTGAATGACGGGGTGATGAAGTAGATACCATGAGGGTGAATCCTCTCGCTGACCTTCAGGAACTTTCTGTGCATGTCCTTTGTCAAACAAGTCATCCATAAATAAAGAATACTTCCGGTGTAGTTGGGAATCCTTCAGCAGCCTCTTCTTCAGCAACCCAAGACGATGTTCAGCGACGATCTTGTTGTTGGGCAGATCTGGAGGGAAGACCTTCCAAGGAAGCGCAACTTCGTAATGACCACCGCGGAGCTCAGTAGAATCCTCCATTATGGCAAGGGCTCTCTTGTCATCTTGAGACAATCCTTTCTCAATGCTGAACTGCGAATCATT